CATGGCCGCTGAGCCTGCGCGTCCAGAGCCTGTGCTCCACAACGGGAGAGGCCACAACAGTGAGAGGCCCGCGTACCTCAAAAAAAAAAGGGATTGTTAATTTGAAGCCCATGAGTACGAGCAGCAATGTAGCACACAGAAATTGTAAAAAAATTACAGCTTGACTTTCTGCCCCAGAGACAAAAAAAAAAAAAAAAAAAAAAAAAAAAAAAGAAGCTGTTGGTACTGCTGGCTGGCGAACCACAGGAAAGCACACCACCTGGGAACAATATCTTGAAACACAGATCTGTTTTCCGGATCTACTTACGGTAAACTGTGGCCCTGTTATGAAAGGATCAGGAAAAGGGGTCACTGTATCAGATGGGAATGTTTTTATCTTCAAAAAAGAGACAGAGAAGAGTGTTACTTTCAGATTAGAAAACAAAGTTTTGAAATCTTTGGCAGTGCATTTTTAAACCGAACTGAAGGTTTCAGGGGAACACACACCGAGCCTTCATTACTTGTTGAAGAAATACACCAAGGGTCGCTAGGAGTGTTGCCCAGCGCTCGTATCTGTGCCCTTTGTTGTGCTATAGGGCCAGGCCGCCGCAAGGAAGACAGGCTGGAGTCTTCCTCGCCCTGACCATGACCAGGGCGTATAATGAGGCAGGTGAGGGCTCTCTGGGGGCCTGCTGACGGCTCCCCTGCAGCTGTGGAGAATGGACTAGAGGCCGCTGAGAGGGCACATCTGGGAACACAGTATATCAGAGTGGACAGAGTACCAGGAGGCCTGGACTAATCAGGCCAGGAGGATTCCCTGTCTGTTCACTTTAGTTGCTGGGCTCCCTGTAAACTCTGGGCCACAAAGGGAAACCTCGGGGAAACCCATGTAAGCATGGGAGAATCCCACCACCGTGGCCTTGGGAACAGAAGGCATGGTGATCAGAAGTGCCCCGTGCTGGGGTCTGAAAGAGGGTGGACACCCCGGCATGATCAGGTAGGGCTAAGTGGCCAAAAAGAGCCTTTGCTTCCATTTCTTTCTCTTGGGTCATTTCATCTTTGGCCTCTTGGAGGCCTTGGAGGATGGGGGGCGGAGGTGTGTGTATTTCTTTAAGCTGGCCTAGAGGACTGCCAGCAGACCCAGGGTCCTGATGACTGTGGCACTAGCTTTGTCTGCAACCCACAGGGGCACAAAAACTGCTGGTGAACGCACGTTGTGCCACCCGCCACCAGAGGGCTGCAGCCAAGACACCGAGGCCACCACTCGCTATGTGCCACCGCCTTAGTGTCTCTCAGAGTCTTGCCTATAGACCCCGGAGTAGCTACCTGATGGCCTTGAGTCATTCTAATGGAGGGTAAGGTAGGGAGGGTCAGGAACACATCAGACCAGACCCAAATCTGCTGAGGGTTCTGAATGAGTTGAGTAGGTCTCAACTCAACCGATCTAGAAATGACAATGTCCTTGCAGTGGGCACTGAGATGTCCAGCCCAAGCCTGCTCCCCTTCCTCAAACTCTCCTTAGTCTCTTTAAATATCTCGAAATTCCCAGGGACTCAGGTGCCAACTCGGGTTGCTGGTAGTGACTCCCTGCAGCATAGCAAGAGAAGGACTGGGGGCAGCCTTTCTCCTCACAGGGCCTAACGTGGTGTTCTGAGACCAAAAGCAAAGTGAAAGTTACATACAGATAAGACTCAGACCATCATGAAATAAAAGGGAAAAAGAGGATTATTATCGCTATTACAGAAATGTGAAAGTGGGCAACTTCAAAGAATTATTTTATACCTGCTCTAAGGAAGAAAAAGACATTCCAACAGTTACACTCTGGGTTGCCGGGCTCTGGCAAAGCACATTTACTCTTCTGATGATGGCGCTGATGGTCATTGGTATCACCACTTTAGAATGACTTTAGCAAAGCCAAAGTTGCAATACTGAACCCAGCAGGGTCTGGCCTGAGAAAATAAAATACCTGACACACAAGCTATATGTGTTCCCTCGAATAGTGACAAACTGGAAACAAAGCACGCGTCCTGCAGTAAAGAGTTCGTTAGGTAGATGGTGGACCATTCACTTGATGGAATATGTAATACGTGGTACCAAGAACAAGCCAGAAACAATAAAACATTAAGCAAAAAGAGGAAAACAGGAGATGACATGGATACTCTGATTTAACTACGTAAAATTATGAATGAATACAAATAAATATTAGAAGGAAACATGCAAAAATGAAAAAAAGTTGTGCTAGGTTGGGATTATGGGTGATTCCCTTCAAGTCATTATATAATTCTCATATTGTCCTCTTGATAAATAGCGGGAAAACACAGGTTAAAAGCTTTTGTTTTCAATAGAAATGCAACTAAGAATTTTTCTCTCTGCGGAAAGCATCTATCCTCAGCACGGCTCTAGGAGAACAAACTCTTCACGGTTCTTGAGACCTAGAGATGAAGGGGCGAGACCACAGCCATGGGTCCCAGTTTGACCAGGGACGGCTGGACTCCAAACTCTGCAATCATCCTGGAGTGAGAGCCCCTGCGGCCCCGGGGTCCTCCGGAGGTCTGGTGCTCGTGCACACCCACGGGCTGCCTCCTGGCGGCTCCTGCCCGCCTCACCTCTCCTGGCCGGGCCCCTCTCCCTGCCAGGGTACCTACCAGCCTCGTTTTGATTGGAGGGTGCATGCAAACTCCAGTGGCCTCTTCCTTCATGGGGAGGGAGAGTGGAGGAGCACAGCGAGAGTGGGCACAGTGGGGGGCGCTGGCGGGCTCTGCCTGCTCTCAGGAGAGAGAAGGGAGGGGAAGGAGAGAAAGACAGCACAGTGCAAGACGGATCTGTGGACTCCAGACAGCTCTCAAGCCAGCCTCACCCGCAGCCTCCTCGCAGCCTCTGGCCACCTGGCTCCTGGTCCCTCCCTCTTCCCTCCTCTCTCCACCTTCTCGCCTCCTCTCTGGCCCTCCTCTGTCTTCCCCACTATCTGAGCAGAACGACAGATCAAAACCCCATTGCTGGGGTCGGCAGGTAGGGGCCACGTCCTGTGCCAGGTGCGCAGGACCGGTGTGCTGCTGAGGATTCTGAAGCAGGCCCAGGCCAAGCCAGAAAGAGCTCAGATGAATCAGTGAAGCCAGCCGTGGGGGCAAAATGAACAATGGCCACATACTGGAGAGTCTTTGCCTTCCATGCCCCATGGCCTGCTGTACTCTGCTAAGTAAGGGCCCACATTATAAGAGGATAAGTGCGTAGATGCCCAACAGAGAGCTACAAGAAAGAGGTACATCAGTGAGGAGGAACACGGAGTTTAACATTTAATCTGTCATGGCTCTTTATCTGTGTTCAGAAAATATATTGGCCGTGACCCTCCTCCCACACCTATGGACCCAGGCCTTGGCATCTCATATTGGCACCGGGGGGTGAGGGGGCTTGCTGCTTAGCTAGGAGATACCAAGCATTGCGAGAAAATGCCATGTCATTTGGGATACCGGGTTCCCTGGCCCCAGCCCTAAATAGTGCCATGCACCCAGCAGAGATCCAACAGCTTGTACTGGTGAGGATGAGAATGGCGAGGGAAGAATGCTCTGATGTCAGGGGAGGGAGCCACTGACAGGGTCAGTTTGGGTCTCAGGAAAGAACCATTACTCCAGGGAACAAATACGTGCACCTTTTAGCTCATGAGTGTTTTCTTAAGTAGTTGGTATGATCCTGCCATAATGAATCAAGTAAAGCCTCTGGGAAAGTTTCACTGAAAAATTATCAGGAAAGTTGTTGCCTTCTTTTCCATCTCCAAATTGATCTAACTCCATCCTTTTTACTACTGTGCAGTCCTAGATGATCTCCAAGGGGCTTTTACAACCATTATTTACGATGGGCTCCATAATAGCCTTGTTTTACTATTCAGACGTGGGAGATGCAGAAAGTGCATTTGCAAAGTCTAAATCCATGGGTCTAGACCCTCTTGTTGATTGTTTCTAAATCCATTCTTCAGAAACAAGGGAGTCCACATTAGTCACCTAATGTGCCGTTAAGTTTTCCCACCCTACTTAAACTCTCCCTCCCGCTCTGGTCCTCAGGGTAAATGTTATGCTCTATAAGATGCTACTAAGGCATAAATCACCAAGAAACATGGACATTCTGCCTTGAGGCCAAAATGTGTACTGGCCACCAGTGTCTGTATTGAAGATTATAATGGATGACTTAAAGCTTTGCCCAGCATTGGACTTTTATGGTAAAGAAATGTTGGTCCATCCCACAAGCATCTCTGACCTTTCTAAATGGAGATTTAGATCTCACATTTCAAACTCAGATTTCTAAATGCATCTGAGCGGATTTAAACAAAAGAACATCCCTGGGGCTCCCACACTTCTGACTTGTAGTAAATGAACAGGATTTCACATGTAATAGGATACTATTTTGAAATACCATTTATGTTTTCTCCTGGTATTTCCTTTCCTCCTTGGGTCTTTTCTACATTTAGGCAGCTAGGTTCTATATGGCTTTTGAGTTCCAAAATCTGACTCTCTGGGGAACAGAAAGGTTTTGGCATACATAAATGATGGTGAAAATGTGTAAGCCTTCATCCAGATAAGAAAAGAGATTGTCAGCTTGAGGATAAGAGAGAGAAGTCAGAAGGAAAGGGAGGAGGGGTAGACATTAGTGAGTGCTGCACAAAGGGGCTCTGGGCCCCCCGTTCATAGGCAGAAGCTGGGGGGCAGGGATTAAAGAGCAGTGGGGACCTGCACCCCTCTACTCAGGTAGAGATGGGAGAGCAGAGCCGAATGGCTGTGTGGTTGTGTCCAGCAGATAGGGATTCACATCCCAGCAGCACCGTGATCTCCACCCACCCAAAAGGGGCATAAGTGAAGCAGCGGGTGTCCTAGATGTATCAGCAAACAGGTGACTTCACGAACTGAAGAGACTTCCCTCCCTCTCCCCGTGCCCTGAAGAACACGGATGAAACCCCAGGAAGACTGAAGAGGCACCTGATTTGACTTGAGATTAAGCTTTAGCTCTCCTACTAGAATGAGGTTCAAAATAAAAACTAAGTTATTGAGACAAATGGAAACCCAATTCTTCTGACACCCAACCCAGGGCCCATTCCGGGCCCTACACAACCTTCCTTTGGTCAGGCCATCTCCTCCCTGACACATGAACTCCTGACTAATGTCCCCTGACCCAGACGAGACCTGGATTATGATGCCCTGCAGTTGGGTGAGTGGTTCTTGCAGTACAGGGATCAGGGAGGGACAAGCCCCAAAGAGAGAGCATCAGAGACACAGAAGGTATGGGTGTTCACGGTCTGTGTTACCTGGGGAAGGAAGCTGGCATGACTGACCTGGAGTAGAGGGTGGGACTCTGCATCCCAAGGTCAACACGATTGATGTGTCCATGTGCCCACCTTCTAACACCCCACATTCTACCGACACCCAGACCCCCCTGCACACCAAATGAGAACACCAGAGGGAGAGTGCGTGCTGTCTTCACTCACTTGCCTCCTTCCCTTCCCATCCTCACACCCCCAAGCTTCCCTCCCAGGCAGAAACTCTTATCTGATCTTGAAGAGCTACGTAATAAAAGAGTTGGGGATTACAGAGGAAAAGAGCTGGGAAAAGGTATGGGATGCTACAAGAGCGAAGCTAGAGAGAATGTTTCTGTGGAGAGTTTGAGGATGTAAGTCCTTGGGGAAGTGCAAGGTGCAAGAGAATTAAGAGAGAAGCAAAATGAGATTCAAGAACTGTTACCAGGAGGTGTTCATTTAATCTTCTTTCATTATCTTAAGAGACGTCAGTTAAAGACTGAATCTTTTTTATCATTCTTGGCTGTTTGGACCATGCTTCATTCCATGCAGAGACTGGATCATAAGGGTAAAGAGTCATTAAGGGTTAAACTAGCTCCAATAGTGTCTTGGTGGAACTTGGTTTAATGAAGGCAAGAAAATCTGTCCCACTCCTCTCTCTCCAGCTCCCTGTCCTTCCAGCTCTGGCCCGAGGAACCAGGGCAGGGACACAGCTTTAAGACTTTCTTGCAGCCCCAGACCCTAAGTCTAGCCTTCCTTGGCTGTCTTTAGAGACACAGATGCCACGCCCCCCCATCACCCTAACATCAAGGGCAGAAAGGGCTGCAGCTCGCATTTCTTTCATGCTGAGAAGAACAAATGGAGGAGCTGGAGGTAAGAGGACCAGACAAAGGGAGAAGCAGGCTGCTGGAGTCTCTCTTCCCCTCTAGGACGCTTCAGCACTCGTGGAGACAGGTCTCTGGAGTGAAGTAAGGTCAAAGCCAACGATGCCAAGGAAAGCCCGAAATACTAGCCCTCCAGCATACCTTCTGTGTGCATGTGCTCTGCGAACATGCACTTGTGCCTCAAATCCGCACAAATAAGAAGGATGCTTCATCTTGAAAAAAGGTATTCACTGCAAACTTCAGCCGTGAAGCGGGCAGCTAGCTGTGTCTTGTACAAAAACCTCAGCTGTCCCGTGGCTGGGCAGTGCAGCACCTGGACCCTGTTTCAGAGCTCGGTCAGAGCTGCCCAGAGACACAAGCAAAGTGTCCTGGGGACACAGAATAAGCTCCCTGCTGTTGGAGGGGTGCAAGCAGAGACTGGACAGTAACTTGGTAGGCATTGGCACCTGAGATCAGGGGACCTCTGGGTCCCTGCCAGATGCTGCTTCCTTTCTAATCTCAGTCTGTTATGCCAAACACAGAAAAGGTGAGGCAATTAAATCCACAAGCTGGATCTGCAACACAATGGTTTTTAAGGGAATCCCATCACTCCTGTCAAAGCCATGATGTATTTTTTTGTAAACTAACCCTAGTTCTCAGATCCACCAGACCTTTTAAATAATAATAAATAATCATTATTTTGCTTATGCTGTACCTTCTGCATAGAATGCTTTGGTCCACTTCCTCCATCTGGCAAACTCCTACTCATACCTTAAAACCCTAGCAACATGAAGCCTTCTTTTTCCTAGTGCCCCCAGACAGGGTTAGGCACAGGGTCCCACAGCAGTAGCAGTTTATACAGACTCTCTTAGAGTGTTTGAAACACAGCCCTTCTTCCAGGCATCGCTCTTCTCCAAAATGGCAAGTTCCCTAAAGAGGAGGCTGGATTTAGCTCAATTGGATGCAAAGGGCACCAGAGAAAGAGCCAGAACATCTGGGCTCCAGCTCCAGCTTGGTCCCTGGGTGATTACCCCACTATGGGACTCAGTTTCCCAATCTGGGCAAAGGGGCGATGAGGTATTTCCGGGTTACCCTATCTTGGCAATCTGTCTAACAAAAAGGCCATGAATAACCAGCTCCATTTACTTGAGCATGGGAAGGAAGTAACTCTGCAGGTCCCCGAGCTGGGTGTTGCCCACTGTCAGTTCTCAAGCAGTTTATCTGAAGGCGCTGACTCGAAGCTCTCAGGCTGTACCAGCTCTCCAGAAGAGAAGTATAGCTGCATAAATCACAAATGACTTCCTTGTGCTAGCTGAGGCAGGAGCGGTGATCGTTCCTAAAGCCCAGACAGCATTTTGCCTCATTTGTCCCCTCTTGAAAGCCTTCCAGAAATCCTTCCCATCCACCACACCCTTGTCCAGGGAGCCAGTCCTGAATGACTCCCACTTCTGGCTTCTCCCCAAGCATCTTCCACACGGCTCTCCTGTTGATCCTGACCCTTTACCAACCTGAGCCCCCTCCAGCCTCTAGCTGCCCTATCCATTCCCAGAGCCTCATACGCAGCCAGGAGCAGAGTGAGTTCTCAGGAGATAGTTTTTGACTTGGCTCACGTTTTGACTCACATGGCAAATCTGTGGACCATGATTTACGCTCCAGTATACTTGGGTATTAGGCTGAGCCCAGCCTAAGATACATCCAATTTTGCCTGTGTCATCTAATCATGTTTATAATATCTTATACAAATTTATGGTGCTTTATATATGGGGCTCTCTCTCTCATGTGATCCTTACAATACTCTTAGGCAGACAGGGCAAACAATGACACCCTCATTTGACAGAAGATGGGGCAGCAACTGTCCAATGACAAGGATCTTAAGGTGAAGAGCGGAGAGTGGAGCCAGGTCTGGGCTGCATGACTCCTGGCTCAGTGCTCCCTTCCCTGAAAGGGCTTCCCACCTGCAGGCATCCCATCCTGAAGGAGAGACCTCTATGCAGAGGATGGAGGATGGTAGGGAGGCACGAGGGGCCTAGAAACCTAGGCGAGGCCTTGAGCTGGTACTTTAGGCCGGAGCATGTTGTTGCAAGAGACAGCAAGAGATGTCCCATGGCAGGCATGCATGGCGGGCATGCAGCCCAGGAAGCCAAGAAGCCGAGACTGAAGCACGGAGGAGCAGCAGACAGGCAGGGTGGGGCCCCTGCAGCCACCCTCAGAGGAAAGGGAGCACGGCCCGCCCTCGGGGGCTCTGTGAGGTGGAAGGACCCGTGATGCCTGAACCCTGGAAGAAAGCTGATCCCTGAGCCTCCAGGCTGTGCGCAGGACAAGACGAAGAGCCTTCCCAACAGCGATGCCCACCTCTGTCCATCCGTCCCACTGCCAAGATGTTTCTATGGTCTGTGGCTTTTCTGGTTTTAGCAAAATGGGAAGTTTACCAGAGGAGTGGCTTCTGTGAAATCCATCAGCAGATCACCTGGCTCCAAGGTAAAGGCACCTCCTCGGTCAGAGGGGCTCTACAAAGGCAGACAAGAATATCCCAGTTAGTGCCGGCTCTGGACTGACAGTGGAATTTCAACAGAAAATACAGACGGTCCTGACCTCTCTCCTCTTCCCCTTTTCTAACACTGAACTCATTATCATGCCAACTCCCACCAGAGTTCTCTTAACTCGGTAGTGTACAAAATGTTGACACCAAACCCTGAGATTTTCTGAAATCTTAATGGGTAGGAGTAGGGTATAGGGTGGAGGACTGTCTTTTTTGAAGCTGCAAACAATTTTTCTTAAATGCTTTGAGTGCTTTTTGACTGGCCTTTGGGGGAAAAACACTTCAAAGAGTCCTTTGAATATATAAACAGAGAGTAAAGACCTCGTCCTGGATCAAGACCTCAAGGAGCTAAACTCATCTGCACAATAACGAGGAAGAGCTTTATGGTAGGAGAGTGATTTTCAGATGGTACCTCTGAAAATCACGTTCATTTTGGGGGGAAAATTTTTTTTCGCCTTGCCTTGTGGGTATCTCAGCAGCATGGGGGGCCTTGAAACCCTCCGTGGAAAAAAATAAGTCGCATTTACTTGGTGCAAGCAGGGCCCTAAGGAGAGAGATGGCCAGAAGAGGGAGCCTTGTGGCTTCTGGTACGATGTTGCCTGCATCTCCACTGAATTCCCTTCTGTTTTGTAAATGTTTTTGTGCGGTTTTAACCATGGCCAGGGATATACAGAGGAGTCTGTGTCCACACTTAGGACAAAGCAGTGCTAGGGACTTAGCACAGTGGAGGGGAACCCAACTCCAGTTCCCAGGAGGTGATCTACAGAAAAGCGGGGAAACTCAGTCTGGGCCAGTCACTGGCTGAGGGATCCAGCCGGATCCTGTTGAACACAGAGGTATTCCCAGAAACCCTGGGAAGGGACCCCTTGAAAGACTGGCCTCAGTCATACACGATGAGGCCTGGACTATTGTTACTTAGATGTTACCAGGAATCATGATCCCTGGAGCTACAGAAGCCTCGGGCATCCTGTTGGCACAAGCACTTTAATCTCTGCTGGACCCGTGAGCTGGGCATCGTAGCAGATCTTATTCTCTTTTTTGGGAAGAGGAAACTGAGGCTCGGAGAAACAAGGGCTGCGGAGTGACTACTTGTTTCAAGCAGCGATAGGTGTTTGAAAGGAGCAGTTGGGCCCCAAGTCTTGGCCCCCAAGACTCTAAGGTTCCAATCTTGCATTAGGGGCCCCACCTCATGCACACGTTGTTCCTCAGCGGGGTCCACAGACCAAGCAACCTTTGACTCAGCATCTGCTTGGAGAGCAAGACATGTGACTGCCTTTGGACCAATTGCTGAAGAGTGACCACAGCTAAGCGTCACTCAAAGGAAACCAAGAGAAATGTCTTGTGCCTTAGTCACAGCCCATTCACATCATCGGCAACTTCCTGAAATTTCAGAGTGACAAACAGAATAATATTTCCCGCTTTCAAACTATTAACACAGGCTATCCCATAAAAGGAATGGGATAGGGATACCTCTATGTTTTTACTCCTCCAAATTTTCCATTACGGGGGATAAAAACCCATTTCTTGCTTTCTGTCTTCACAGTAGAGTAACAGCTTTTGCAGGGATGATATTCTAAAACTAAAATTGCCCTCAAAAATCTCTTAAATTTCCCTTCAAGTACAAAGTACATGCTTTTATGTTATACCATTTGTCTCTCATACGTGGTTATCTTTCAGGGACAGATTATATAAAACACATGCTTTGGTGGTTATTACTGTAGTTTTATGAGTGCACAGACTTGATGATGCAAAGTTTAAATGCATACAGATGCCACACACAATTTATGCAGAGTTCTCGGCAAGTATAGCTACTCCTCAGGGCTTTTCCGCCATACCTTGGCCCCTGGGGACAGCTGGCCCTTGCCTTCTGAATTCTGAGGCGAGCTGACTTTGTGGACCTTGGGGGATGCCAGCGGCACTGAGACTTGTGTGGTGGTGGCCATGGTGGTGGCCATGGCTGGAGTTGTGGTCGCTCCCGCTGCCTCGGCCAGGTCTGGAGGGAGGTCGTCTTCATCACTGCGGTTACTAGAAGCACATGAAGCTCTGCTCATTACAATAATAAACAGGCTGTGGGGAGTGGAAGGAGGTGGGGAGGGCTGGGACGGCTAGGGTGGGGATTGGGGGCTCCCCAAACAGATGTCTACCAGATGTCCAGCTTACAGGGGCTGATATATTGACCTTCAGCCAAAGCAAGTCTGGGCTGGATTTTCTGTCACTTGCCCAGGGATTAAAAAAATGTTTTATTATGAGAAAATATGTATAACATAATATTTATCATTTTATCCATTTGTCAGTTTACAATCCAGGGGCTCAAACACATTCACAATGTTGTATAACAAGGACTTTATCTATACACCAAACTTTGTTATCATCCCAACAGCAACTCTGCACTCACTGAACAACAGCTCCTCATGACCCCCTCTCCGCAGACCATGGTAACATTTGCTCTGCTGTTGAGGCTCAGGGTGGGCCACCCCCAAATATGCCACAATGGCATATTGATTCTTTTTTATTAGGATAGAGTTGTTTTTATTTTAATAAAATTACATGGAGAAAAAGCTTAATATGTTTTTCGTATAGCATTTTTTTGAAGACCCTGAAGGAAAGATTGAATTACCATCATCATCGAAAATTTATTCCTGGAAACATCCACAGGATTTTTTTTTTCATATTTTCAAAATTGTAATTAGGTATTACCAAATAAAGTAATAAACAACTTTTAACTCAGAGTGCAAAATGAAAGCACCTTATTATTTTAAAGGTGCAAAAGCAAGAAAATACAACATAAACTTATCCATTTTTTTTTTTTTTTTTTTTCCGGTACGCGGGCCTCTCACTGCTGTGGCCTCTCCCGTTGCGGAGCACAGGCTCCAGACGCGCAGGCTCAGTGGCCATGGCTCACAGGCCCAGCCGCTCCGCGGCATGTGGGATCCTCCCGGACCGGGGCACGAACCTGTGTCCCCTGCATCGGCAGACGGACTCTCAACCACTGTGCCACCAGGGAAGCCCAAACTTATCCATTTTTAAATAGTCGTCTGTGTGATGGGTAAATGCCATTTAAAAACGTTTTAAATAGAAAAATGATTTATAAATCAGTTTTCAGAAGATCAAAAAAATCAATGTTTAATACCAACTTTAACTATAAATAAAAAGAATATTGTCATCTTTCCTGTTTTTTTTTTTGTTTTTGATTTTGTTTTTTTTGCGGTACGCGGGCCTCTCACTGTTGTGGCCTCTCCCGTTGCGGAGCACAGGCTCCGGATGCGCAGGCTCAGCGGCTCTGCGGCTCTGCGGCATGTGGGATCTTCCCAGGCCGGGGCACGAACCCGTGTCCCCTGCATCGGCAGGCAGACTCTCAACCACTGCGCCACCAGGGAAGCCCGCTCCCGTTTTGGCCTCAACATTTATGTGTTCTGCTCTTTGCCTTTCGGAGAAAATACTGCATTGTAAGGCTGCTGTCTTTTTGGACGAGGAGAAGGATCAAGATCTTCTTTAATGTAACCTCTTTCCATACAAGTCTGAGTGGAAGGAAAACCAACTTCCCAGAAATTCTCTGGTGTGTTGGGTGGAATGTAGCGAAATCGGTGTCTTGAGCAGGAAGCCAACTTCTTTTCTTTCTTCTGCTGGAAAATCTGCACAACAAATTTCACATTACTTACATGTGTGTCCAAGCAATTTTCTTCTTCTTTTTTCCGGACCACCTCAATATGAGGAAAATTTTGTAAGCTAGTCTCTCTTTCATCATCTTTAAAATATGGCTCCACAAATGCTTTCTGTTTGACTTTATCTTGTTTATCACCAGGAGAGTTTGTTTTTTTTGTAGCAGTTGACAACTGCTCTTCATCTGCTACTTGGGGGAAACTATCCACCAAACAGGATTCATATTCTTCATGTGTAGTCCGATCAAACATATCTTCCAAGCTATCATTCATTTTTCTTTCTCCATTTGGACTTTTTTCTCCCTTCTGCTCTTGATTCTTTTTTCATGGCTCACGGGCCCAGCCGCTCTGCGGCATGTGGGATCTTCCCAGGCTGGGGCACGAACCCACGTCCCCTGCATTGGCAGGCGGACTCTCAACCACTGCGCCACCAGGGAAGCCCTTGATTCTTCATTTTTAAAAGCATAGTTTCACTAACCAATGTACAGTCCATGTTCACTGTCTCTCCTCCTGCTAATCTTGACTGACTGCCATCCTTCCTATCTACTACAGTGATATCCATTTTATACTGAGAAAGGTCTGCTCCTGGATCTATACTCCACTGGATGTTTTCAAAGGATACATCTTGGTTGTTCCGTAGAGACTTTGTTTTAGCAATTCTACATGGATTTAACTGAAGAACTGATGCAAGTTCACATGCTCCATGGACTGACCTGGTTTTTATTTTTAGAGGCTCATGAGAACCAGCACCCTTCATGTCATCAAAAAGATTCTCTGTCTCCAAACTTTCACGTGGACGTAGAGGGATTTTAAAGATAGAATTTTCTTCCTTTATATTTCTTCCTTTATTTATTTCTTCCTTTATTTGTTTTATTATCTGGAGATTTACTCAAGGACTGGAGGAGGGACTCCTGTAAACTGCTGGGCTCTTCTGGGGAATCTTTGGTTAACCCACAGCTCCCACTCAAGGCCTTACGGCTTGAGGAAGAGCCCTTTGGAACAGGCTTCAAAACCTCACAGACAGTCACTTGCCTAAATCCTACTTTAGGGTTCTCACTTCCTTGGCTTTTCTCTTGACGCTGAATAGCTGAAAATCGATCAGAGATCCAGAGGTTTATCCATCACATAGTCTCCATTCATGTAAGAATGACTATCTGGTGGAAAAGGAAAAGCATTTTCTTTATCAAAGGAGGCTTGGGGGCAGCTTACTTCATCTTCACTTTCTTCCTCGATTTTCTTCCTTTTGGTTTGGCCTCCCAGTGACTTCAGGGGTACCACATGTTTATCAGTAACAGTATCTTCAATGTGATCAGTACTATCCTGTTCACTTGTATTTTTATTTATAAGCACCTGCTTATTAGAAGATGACTGGTTAGTGGCCTTCACTTCAGCCCCAATATCATGATGTGTGAAAAGGGCACCATGTTCAGATTTTGATCTAGGTTTCTCTGGTCTAGAATTAGAAGTGTTGCTGAAAGGCGTTGTTTACAGATGGTTTTTTTTTCCCCCAGTCTCTAAAAGAGAAGGGGACAAACTTGTATTCAAACCTAAACTACTTTTCACATTAGAGGTAGCTCCAAATACAGGAGATGATACCCGAGTAGTCAATTCTTCTTGAGGAGGAGTCTTCGAATTAGAACCTGAAAATCTTAAACTATCTTCACTATTTCTTCCAGATTCCTCAAAAGGTTTTTTGTGATCTCCTTCCAGACAGTGGTAGAGCTCATCACCAAGAGGGCTCATAGGACCTTGAGATTCAGACTCATCTTGAACACTAAGTCCAAGTGTTTCAGCAACAACTGTAGCTAAATTGTCAGGAGGATAACTGCTTTTTCCATGTGTATTAGCCACTGGAGCTTGACTCTGATCACGCGTCAGCCACTAGAATTTTACGTTCATTATGTTTATGTTGTGAATGAGTTGAAGACTTTGGTACTTTCCTCAATTCATGTGCACACCCAGAGTGCTCCAGTTTAGTATGTGTTTGTTCTAAATGTCGGACGTGGAGGTTCTTCCTTCGTAGTCAGTCAGCGCCAGAAAATGAAAAGGTTGTTATTGGTGAATCTGGAATAACACCTTCCTCAGATTTAAGATTGGTTGCTTGATGTCGTTGATCATTCTCGATTTTCTGCTGCAGCTGTTCAGAAAGCATTTTATTTTCTTCCTGCATTCTTTTCATTCATAAGCTCTGTGATAAGTTTAAGATTCTGCTGTCGAATATTTTCAAACTCTTGTTGTTTCTTCCGCATATGTTCTTCAGTTACTGCACAGCGATCACATAATCCTGCTCTGAATCGATCTTCTAAAACTTTAATGGTTTCATGAAGGACTTTCCATTGCTCTCTCAGCTGTTGATTTTTGGTGAAGAATTCTTCTAGTCTGTGCATCTAAACTTTGTTCCTTTTTCAGTTTGGTTACTTTTACTTGTAGACCTTGTACTTCTTTATCACGATACTCCTTTAGTTTTGTCCAAAGATCCTTAAAGTCATTAGATCCATCTGCAGAACTGGGGCTTCCACAACTGCTTCCCGGGACGTTCATCTTACTTAATATGCTCACACTTCTACTGCCTACTGTTTTCTGACCTTTTCTGTTACATTATACAGGTCTGAAGTTGTCTTTGGCCAGTTCAAATACGGCTTGCAAGATTGCCTCGAGATTCTCGAAAGCCCGGGCAGGAACGCAAGCACGCTCTGGAGAGGGGAAGAGACGGCCTTTCGCTTTTCTCCTCGTTGCCTCCCTAATCTGCCAAACCGCCAGCAGCCAAGCTGCCCCCTTGGAGCAGCCCGCGTTTTCCAGGGTTGGGGGAGGGCCCGAGGGACCAGGATTTTTTAATTAATCCGGTAAGAGATAGTTTTACTATTAAGCAAAATATGTATTAACTATGAGATGTAATATCCTAGTTATGAAAATTTGCATTTTAAAAACAACTTAGGGTAATTTTTTCCTGTGGTATTTAGTAAGAAAAAGTAATTACTTTTGGCATTTAAATTAGAAATAAATACTTATCAATATAGTTTGTACTGGTTTCCAAGAGAATACTGAAATTTTGTTTAGGGCCTCAAGTTTTCTTCTCCTCTTCATGATGCTAAATTATAACCTAAAATGTTGTAAAAAGTTATTCCTTAATTTCTTTCTTTTTTTTTTTTTGCGGTACGCGGGCCTCTCACTGCTGTGGCCTCTCCCGTTGCGGAGCACAGGCTCCGGACGCGCAGGCTCAGCGGCCATGGCTCACGGGCCCAGCCGCTCCGTGGCATGTGGGATCTTCCCGGACCGGGGCACGAACCCACGTCCCCTGCAACGGCAGGCGGACTCTCAACCAACTGCGCCTCCAGGGAAGCCCTAATTACTTTTTCTTTAATAAATTTATTTATTTTATTTATTTATTTTTGGCTGTGTTGGGTCTTCGTTGCTGCGCGCAGGCTTTCTCTAGTTGCGGCAAGCGGGGGCTACTCTGTTGCGGTGCACGGGCTTCTCATTGTGGTGGCTTCTCTTGTTGCAGAGCACGGGCTCTAGGTGTGCGGGCTTCAGGAGTTGTGGCATGTGGGCTCGGTAGTTGTGGCTCACGGGCTCTAGAGCACAGGCTCAGTCGTCATAGCCCACGGGCTTAGCTGCTCCGCGGCACGTGGGATCTTCCTGGACCAGGGCTCGAACCTGTGTCCCCTGAATTGGCAGGCAGATTCTTAACTGCTGTGCCACCAGGGAAGCCCCAGTTATTCCTTAATTTCAGACAGACTTTCTCCTTTCTGCTTGTTACGTGGTGTAAAGGTCTGTCATATTGATTATTTTTAATTAAAGTTACTTAAGAAATGGCCAACACTCTGACCCTCCTTTCTGTCTCCCTGAAAGCAGGAAATAAATCTCTCGTGTGAAAGGTGTACTCCCTGCATCTGAAGATAGAAGGACCGCTTTATCATCAGAGACAGGGGATTCGGGCCTAGAGGCCTGTATAAACAAACCCTGTTACTTCTTGAAGTTACTACCCCAAGCCCAAACTCTGTCTAGATTCTTCACTAAATGAACACCCAAAACCTAAGTTTCTTTGTCCTGTCAATTCCTCACAACTTTATTGTTTCTTTGTCTAAAAAGTAGAAAAGCTGCCTGCTTTGGGCACTTCTTAGGTTCCATTTCTATGAGACCACCATGTGCATGAATTAAAATTTCTTTCTTTTTAAACTTTTTAGTTTATTATTAGTCCAGCCACAAGAACTCAAAAAGGGTAAAGGGGAAATTCCACACCCTTCCCCCACGATGCTTTCTGTCCAGATGAATTTGACACTCTAGGTACCTCATATAAGTGGAATCATACAGCAAATGTTCTTCTGTATCAGGCTTGTTTGAACATAATGTTTTCAAGGTCCATCCATGTCATCACATAAGCCAAAATGTCATTCCTTTTTATGGCTGAGTAACATTCCATTGTATGGACAGACTGTATTTTGTTTATCCCTTCATCTGTTGATGGACAATTGGGTTGTTTCCACCTTTTAGCTATTGTGAATAGTGTTGTTATGAACACTGGTGTACAAACATTTGTTTGAGTCTCTGCTTTCAACTCTTTTGAACTGAAATTCCACATAGGAGTGGAATTGCTGAGTTGTATGGTAGTCCTATGTTTAACGTTTTGAGGAACCACCAAACCAAGGGATGTTATTCTGAGGAGCCTCCCTTAGGAGGGTAAGCATAAGACTTGTAGGAACCTCCTGTTCTGAGCGAAGGGTGTAATGACTCCTTTCGTGGCCTAACAGCAACTGTCTCTTCGGTGTGATAAACTGATTATAGAGAAGGAGTTGCACACAACTGTTTTGGGGCCAAGCAGCTCTGGTTTTCGACCCTCTCTGATCGAGTGGGATGACCCAGGATGGAAAGGACACTAGACAGGAAGTCACCATGTGGGAGAAGTCTCCCTCACGGCAGCTGGGGCTTATCTCCAGGGCTTGGCTTTGTGGGGAAGGCCTGCCTTCCCACAAGGTACGTCAAGGCTGGAAGCTCTTCTGATCTGATCATCCCAGCACAGAGCAGCACCATCAATCCCCCATCCTTAGCATGGGCGGTATTTTCTCAAATTTATAGAAATTAAGACAAGTTCCCTCTCCCCTGCTGCCAGCCAGATTGCTGCCTGCACAGGAAAGGGCTAACTCAGCAGGCCCCAGATGCTCAAACCCTGTACATTCCAAAGGAACCATTGGCCACTGACAAGCTCCTGAGAGAACCTCTGGACCCTTGGAATATCCTGCTGGATAAGTGTGTCTCTGCACACCTAAGACCTTGAGCTATGCCAGATAGCTTATGCTATCAATGTGATTTACGATGAACACCTGGTGTCTAAGGTAAATTCATGAAACATTTTAATAAGTAAAATTTTATGTAGTAGTATGAGGCTTTTCTTTGAAATGATTTCTATTTTAACAATACATACGCATAGAAAAATGTCTAGAGTAATAGTCATAAATGTGAACATTGGTTATATTTGATGGTGTGATCCTAGGGAATTAGTTACTTTTCTCTTTGGACTTTTCTGTCTTGCCTGAATGCCTTTAGATTTTTACACTATGTTTAAAAACATAGTAAAGTTATGTATCTGGGTAAAAATTAAGCAGCTCATCATTTTCTAAACATACCAGCTGACATCAATATAAAGATGATGCTTTTACCTGCCTTCAACTGTTTGCAGAGTTTGCTTCTCCTTTCACTCTGCACACAGCAGCCACACCTTTCCTCCCTATGCCGTATTTCAAGAAAAGAACACAGCTGAGATTTTTGTTTATATCCTAAAAAGCAGCAGTTTGAAAACTTTTTCAGAGCACCTGAATATCATGATGCTTTGATGGAGTACCCTAAAACCCAAACAAGCACACATAATTCTGGCCTAGGAACTAGGAATATTGTAACAGCTAAAAAGGGCATACACATCCCTGCATCTCAAAACCAATGATGCAGAATTATTTTTTAGGAAATGGGAAATCTGAGGTTTTCCAATCTGTATCCCCAACCAAGTGTTTATTAACTTTATCCATATCTATGAGTGGAAGAGATGAGTAAAGAAGTGGTAACTAGTGTCAACAGTACCATTACTATTTATGGGATGAAAACTTAAAACTGGGAAAATCTCATCCATCAATTTTGCTATTTACTACTAATGGGAAAAATGCTGCCATTCTTTGATTTTCAAAGCAGAATACTTTGGGGTATCTTAAGAAATACACATGAAGTTAGAGGTTTTAAAATGGTTTCCTTAAAAGAGGCAATTTGGTGAGTTAGCTAAATTTTCTTTCCTTCCAGGTCATGTATTAGTCATTGCTTCCAAAGTGATTACATATCCCGAATGGGTGATAATAACATTTTGAGTCCTGAAATGTGAAAGGTTAATCCTGCCAGCTTTATCCTCAGGGGAGCAGATTTTTCATGGTTTAATTTGTCCCCCAGAGATCATTAGGACTGTTAATTATTTGAATCTTACTCGTTTTGGCTTCCCTAGGAAATACAGCTGGTATACTGTCAAGAAACTTCTATTAAGGCTAATGAGGTGGGATGTGTCTGCCCTGAAACTGCACTCCCCTTTCTTCTCCTTTTCACAAGGTGCAAGTGGCAGGCCTGAGCTGGCTGTTTGAGAACTGCATCTGGAGTTACACTCCTTGTCCTATACTCTGTACTCTCAGTACCTCCTAAACTTGACCTCTTCAGAGGCTTCAGGTCCATAAGAAGAAAGGAAGGGGAACTAACTCATCTTTCAGCCAGGGCTAGGCTGAAAGCTAGGGCTTTACCCACATTATCTCATGTTTACCCTCACAAAAGCCTTACCCATTTTACAGACGAAGGAGACGTTCAAAGAGTAATTTTCCCAAGAGCTTGTAACAGTAAACTAGAAGCCTTTCTAACTCCAGAGCCCCACGCTTACCACTGCACCCAAAGATCCCCCTGCAGCTCTCTGACCAATTATACATCCAGGCACGATACCTGGGCCATAGCCAAGGTCAAGAGATTCTAACTACCATTGTGATTATGCTAATATACCACCAACCTTACTGTAGCATTTGCCTGTCTTCTTTGGATTATAATTATAATTTAAAACTTTTGTTAAGCTGAACAGAACTGGACAGGTCCTGGCGGTTCTGGGACACTTTGGAATATAGCTCCTCCCACAGGAATATGGCTCCTCCCACAGGAATATGACTCTTCCTACAGGACTATGGCTCCTTCTACAGGAATATGGCTCCTCCTACAGGAATATGGCTCCTCCTATAGCTCAGGGATCAGCTTTGGCTCTGTTGACAGAAAACGCTACCGTTTCACTACAGCACCATGGAGGCAGTATCCGATATGGAGGCAGTATCCGATATGGCTCCCCCTGATCCCCTTCTGCTACTTGTGCCCCTGAAGAAGCCTGTCTCCTTGAGTGTGGGCTGGGTCTAGGGACTTGCTTCAAATGAACAGAATAGGGCAAAAGTGATGGGATGTCATTTCTGAGATTAGGTTATAGAAGACTGTGATGTCACCTTCTTAGAGCTCTCTCTGGCTCTTCTTATGTGTTTTCTCCTATGGAGAAAGCGGCAGAGGTCCACATGACTAGGAACTAAGGGCAACCTCCAGCCGACAGTCAGCAACGAATGATGTCCTCAGTCCAGCAGCCCTCAAGGAACTGAATCCTATCCCACATGGCATGAAGGAGACTTCAGATGAGACTGCAGCCCTTGCCAACACCTTGAAGGCAGCCTTAAGAGACACTCTAACCCAGAAGACCCAGCTAAGCCATGCCTGGATTCCCAACCCACAGAAACTGTGAGGTAATAAATGTGGATTGTTTTAAGCCACTAAATCTTGGAGTAATTTGTTACACAGCAATCAATAATGAATACATATGTCAATCATGTCATGTTTTCAGGGAGAAAGATCCAGTCCCACTACGACTTAAATTGGAAACAGGCTGTATTTTTGGGATAGCTCTTTGGGAATGGTGTGAACGGCTAAGAAGCATTTACAACTGGACATTTAGCATCACCTTTGTTGTTATAATTGAAAAACCTGCAGCATAGAACTCACAAGCTGTATTGTCTTGTTAACTTCCGCACTCGGGGAGGCTTGATTTCCGGCTTTTCCACAGCTGGTTGGGTAGTTTCCACACGTATAGGAATAGGACTTCTAGAGACACACCAGAAAAGCAGAACACCACCAATAGAAAGGTTTATGGTCTGATTTTGGCTATAGGGACTGTTTCTCAGTTAGTTTATATCTTAATAACATTGACAGTCAAGATATCCTTTTTTTCCTCCTCTTTACTTATTACATATAATTATTTAAAAATGCCACAGAAAAGCCAAAACCAAAAAAATCATAGGGAAGAAAATACAGCAAGCAGGAACTGAACATGATTGGGGCACCACATAAAATTTCCCTGCCAAAAACACCCACTCCCAATTTTAGGTTTTGGTTCATAACCAGGTTTTGCCAGTAAAATGAGTAGAGAGAAACCTGTGGATGACCCGTTTTTACTTCCAAGTAATCTGGTAACTATGTTATTTTAAACGTAGCACGGAATATATTTTTTAAAAAGAGAGATAAATAATGATTAGAGTATTTCATGTGAAAATGCATAATCAGAAGACCTTTAAGACTTACTCTGAAACATTTTAATTCTATGTCTAGGTGAAAATGTTAAAAATTAAGTTTCATTTTTATATTTCCTCAAGAAAATATGCCAGATAACCAATGGGCTTACTCAAAACCAGTGATTTTAAGGTAAAGTTTTACACATTTTTGTACGTGACTGATTTCACTTAAAACACCAGAAATTACCTTCGGGGACCAACAGACATCAAAACAAATTGAGGTTCTCAGCAAGGGACCTCTAGCAAGTCAGTTAACACTTCTGGACCTCCATCTTCCCTTCTATTCAATGCCTAATATGGCGATAGGTAGGTGGCCAGTGCCCAGGAAATGTTTATTAAAGAAACATGTGAATGAGCAAATACGAAATTGGAGTCAACATACTTTAGGTTCATGATTTCCTCAAGTTGGGAGCCCAGAGTCAACGGAACGTGGTCCCCGGAAGAACACATAGGAGAGCACATAACTTTGCCTGGGTGAAATGGTTGGTGTCTGGAAAGCTTCAAGGAGGGATTTACACTCAACCAGATGGAGGTAAGACTTCCAAGGTGGGAGACAGAGTGGAGACCCGGAACTGCTGATGGGTAAGGTCCCATTGGAAGAGCAGGGGATTGTGATTAGAGGGGAAAGCAGGGGCCAGGGCTTGAGGCACCTCAGGATGAGCTGTTTACCCTGAAGGCAAAGGCAGTCACTGAAGGTTTTAGGCAAGGGAGTGGCAAGGTCAGACTTGCGTTTTAGAAAGGCCCTTAGAGCAACCAAGGATGCTGGTGAGAGCAGGCCAGTCGGGAGCATCTTAGAAGACTGCAGTAGTGGTTATCCAGGATGAGAAATGGTGAGGCCCGGGGGTAGGCCTGGAAGAGGGTCCTAAAGAGGAGCAGATGGATGTGGGTGATAATATGAAAGTCAAATTGGCAGGACTTGGTGACTAATTAGATGAGGGCATGAGGTAGGTAACGGTCAAGGACTCCCAGGCCTCAGGTCTGGATCACAGGTAGGTAACAATGCCACTGACCAAGATAGGAAAACTGGTGAAGGGAGAGTAGGGTAGGGTGGGGAGAGATGAATTAAGGTTTTGAAAAGTCCAAGAGGCAGCTGGGTATGGGTCTCTGGAGGAAGACAAATTTATACCAAGAACATGGGCCAGGCATCATGAGATGACATAGAGAAATATTAGTCTTTATTTTTAGCATCAAGTATTCCCCAGGGTAGTGGTTCCTAGGTCACCTTGGGTGTTTTTGAAATTCTTATTCCTGGCCTCCCCTACCACAACCACGCCCCCTTCCCTCCCTCCCCCCCCTCCCCCCACAACAACACCCACCCCGCCTTCCACCAAAGGATCTGAAGGGTCTGCAGTAGGACCTGAGTCTTTGGTTTTAACAAGATATGGTTGCAGTGCTCCCTGGACCCATTTTAGCAAACTCTACCCTAGGGAGACCCCCACCAATGTTAGCAGGCTGCCAAGGTGTCAATGGGGCTGCCATGATCTACAGGTGTTACTCACTTGGGCTGGGAGGGGAAGAGCATCTGCTTTCTATGAGATCAGGAAAGGAGGGTTTTCCTCTGGGTTTGGGTTGGTGGTAGCCTGGAGGCTTTAAAGAACATTTGTGGTTCTAGTACTTCAAGGAGCTCAGATAAGGAGCGTGTGAATGGACCATGGGAAGAGGGGTGAACAGAGCTGGGACAGGGAGCAGAAGCCAGGTCATAAAGGTCACCCTATGCTCTGTTAAGGAGTCCGGACTCCACCGTGACTTTAAGCAGGGGAATGACAAGGTCAGATCTACATGCCTGAGAAGCATCTCAAAAGTGATTTCTTTTTTGGTACATCAGGTGGAAATATTAAAACAGAATAAGTGGCATTTTTGAGGCATAAAGGAAGTTGTTTATGACAGTCCTTTTCGCTTGCTTCAGGCTCACATTCTCTCAGTTTTCTTTTTCCTCTTTATTTTATTAGCAAATGCCCTCGTGAGTAATGTTTTGAGGAGAATGCTGAAGGTACTATTGTTTCCCCATTCAAACAAGAAGCAACAGACCTTACGTTAGCGTCCTGAAGACTGGATTTCTTATTGATATTTACAAACGTTGATTCCTCTTTTCCAACCTGTTAAGGAAAACAGGCAGGTTCGTCAAAACTGGACATCTTGGCATGCAAAAATGTTTCCACGTCTCCTACATTCAAAGGATTACAGAAATGTGAAGGTGTATCAAAGAGGCAGATCATCAAGTACTCAGTCAATAACAAAATTTTCCGGTGTTTATTTAACAAAAAATGTTTTCTTGACTCATTCCCCATCGCAAGGATTAACACGTAATCATTCAGATAAAATCAGTGCTTGCATTCACACTCTTACTGAGCACCTGCTACGTGCCAGCTCATGATGGAATGAGAAGAGGATGGTGTGAGAAAAGCCACACCCACAGTTTAATCCCCCACTTCACATTTTAGATCAGGAATAATAAGCAAGCTCTATGCTCACATAGCACTTACAGCTTACAAAAGAGGTTAGAAGCTGTCCTTTCATATCAGTGTACCGAGCCTGGGAGGAACTATGTCATAGGATTTTGATAGAAGCCTTGTCCTCTTCCCTCTGGCGAGTCCCATTAAGAATGATGGGGAAGGAAAGGACACCCACTCAGCCAGCCAGGCCAGCTGAACACAAACTGCAGGTCAACAGGAGATGCAGCGGTCTGTGGTCCTCAGACCCACCACAGCGTACAGAGCTGGCCCTTTCACTTACCCAATTATAGCTATACCAGTTAATAACTCTTTATATTAAAAGCTCCGTGCACATAACAGGTGTGGTTCCTATCTCCTGGCTGCACCCTGACTGACACAGCATCTCAGTCCTAGAATGCCTCTTTCTTCTACGTGGCACAGAGGAAATCCCGCAACGTGAAATCAAAGGCTTGCATGCATGGCACGTACCTGGGCACTCGCTCGGGAAGCATTCTCCAGCTGGGCTTTTAAAATGTTACACTTAACATGATCAGCCACGGGGGAAGGCAAAAGTGGGGTCTGAAGAGTCTTCTCAGAAACCTTTTTTTCTTCAGCCTGAGATGAACCAAAATACACGCAACAGACTGTAAACAAAGAACTAAGAAAACACATACATTAATCTTTCCCATCAGTCATCACTGCAAATAACCCAAAGACATAAACATATAGACAAGTGTGTCACTAACTCCTTATGTTTGTACCAGTGCTTTTAATATTTGCAAAGGATTCACAAGCACATCCTCTCATTCTCACGTGAAGCAGGGAGAGGTTGTATTAGGAAGCCCATGAGTCAGAAGATGGGGAAGGTCCAAAGAGAAGAGACTCTTCCAGTATTCAGGCAGGTAAAGCCAGGACTCAAGCTCCGAGTTTCCTACACCCAGCTGCAGTGCTATTTCCCCCATAACTGCTATTTCTTACATATAAAGACCCAATTCTGTGACTTGTTGGGTTAAGGGAAAG